GACAAGGCCATCCAACTGATCCACTTGGAGCAGTCCAGGTGTAAAACTAGATATGGCCAGACCAAATCTGAGAAGGGAGACGCTTCAATCTGTATTCTCATCCCTGTTGTGTTGTTCTATGATAACTACGTCTGGTGGTAAACGAACAAAACAAACATTTTGGAGTAGAGAACATAAATCTAAATAGCTAATGCTATGACCAATGGAAATTTTATATTATTTAATATGTCTTTAAAAAAAATAATGCACATGATATTGATGTTTACCCGTATATTTTATATCACAAGAATTTATATTGCGTGATATTTAATTATGCATTTATAATTCATGGTATTTATATGTATTATAAAAAAAATGTACATTATTTTTATGTTTAATTGAATGAAAAAATTTTTTAAAAAAATAATTAAGCAATTAAAAATTATGTTAACAGGGCCGCCCCAAAATTCATAATAACCCCCCCCCCCCCCCCCNCCCCCCCCCCCCCCGCGCGCCAGCCCCCGCCTTTTCATTAGTAAACTAATTATGATATGGGCAACAATGTAGTTAGACTGTGTGACTTAAGGGCCCGACTTGTACATTACCAACACCGCCACCCCGCACTCAATATCAAATTCAGCTAATGTTGTCATTCTGTGGATACTTTTTTTTTTTTACGGTCCAAGAATTCCTAGCCTAAACGACCATGTTTTTAGTTTAGTTTTTTCTATTGTGCCTCTTCAGGTTTTTCTCTACCCCGAGTATATCCATCCATCCATCCATCCATCCATCCATCCATCCATCCATCCATCCATCCATCCATGCATCCATCCATCCATACATCCATCCATCCATCCATTCATCCATCCATCCATCCATCCATCCATCCATCCATCCATCCATCCATCCATCCATGCATCCATCCATCCATCCATCCATCCATCCATCCATCTAACCATCCATCTACGAACTTCGGCATTCGTTCCAGACCTCGGTTCGTAACCCAAAATATTGGAAAGCAATTAAATATAGACATCCGTATCAGGATGAAAAAATCGTTCTTATTATTATCATCCGGTCGGTTACCTTCCCAAACGCAAAGAATGCTTGCACTTCACGTATGAATAAAGAGACAGAAAAAAAACCCTAAGTCAACCAGAAAACAACCAGATAACAACCAAAAGACAACCAGAAGACAACCAAAAGAAATTCAGAAGACAACCTGAAGACAACCAGAAGACAGCCAGAAGTCAACCTGAAAACAGCCAGAAGACAACCAGAATTCAACCAGAAGGCAACTAGAAGACATCCAAAACACAGCCAAAAGACAGTCAGAAGACAAACAGTAGACAGCAAAAAGACAGTCAGAGTAAAATAGAAGAAAACCAGAAGACAATCAACAGACAGCCAGAAGAAAGCCAGAAGACAACCAGAAGACAAAAAGAAGAAAGCCAGAAGACAGCCATAATTCAACCAAAAGACAACAAGAAGACATCAGAAGACAGCCAGAAGAAAGCCAGAAGACAACCAGAAGACAACCTGAAGACAACCAGAAGACAACCAGAAGACAGCCAGAATACAGCAAGAAGAGAACCAAAAGACAACCAGAAGACAACAAGAAGACCACGAGAAGACTGCCCGAAACAAACAGAAGACAGCCAGAAGAAAACCAAATGACAACCAGAAGAAAGCCAGAGACAATTAGAAGATAGTCAGAAGACAGACAGAAGACAACCAAAAGACAACCAGAAGACAATCAGAAGACAGCCAGAAGAAAGCCAGAAGACAACCAGAAGACAACCTGAAGACAACCAGAAGACAATCAGAAGTCAACCAGAAGACAGCCAGAAGACAGCCAGATGACAACCAGAAGACAGGCAGAAGACAACCAGAAAACAACCAGAAGACAACCAAAAGGCAACCAGAAGACAGCCAGAAGACAGCCAGAAGAGACCCGTTTAGTCGCAATTAAAGACTTGTTGTGGAAAGGAGTCTTCCTGTTTGATGATCTTATCGAATTCCACCTTGAACTGTTCTGTTCCTTTCTCGTTAGAGCTGGCAGCATCTCCGTGCCTAATTACACAATGAATGTCCTTTTTATTTTCTTCTTTTTTCAAAAAACTTTTTTCAAATCAGCCTCAGCTGGCTTTAAAATTGTCAGTCCTGGCACTTGCACCAAGCAATTTTGACAATAAATCACTGTGCAACAGCTTCGCCTTTTTACATGTTGTTACCTCGCTAACATTGTCTCTTTTCATTGATCCAGATGAAGAGAAAATCCTCAAGTTTCACAAAAATTTTAGGACTTTTGCAGCTTGGTTTCGCTTTTAGCCGTATCGACTGATTTAAGTAACTCTTTGTTCTTTACCATGGTGGAGATGGTTGATTATGCCATGCTTTACTTCGTTTGTACTGTGCGCGCTCGTTTGCCTCCAGCGTTAAACCTTGCTCTCTCTCTCTCTCTTTCTCTCTTTCTCTCTTTCTCTTTATCTCTCTTTCTCTCGCATACGTTCGTAACCCGAGGCACTGTTCGTTACCCGAGACATAAAATGTGCGAAGTTGTTGTTCATAACCCGAATGGTTCATGACCTGAGGCATTCGTAGCCCTTAGTACCACTGTATATATATATATATATATATATATATATATATATATATATATATATATATATCATTCTATATATATATATATATATATATATATATATATATATATATATATATATATATATATATCATTCTGCTCCTACTCAGAAATTTTTTGAATAATTTTAAATGCAGTGATGCATTTTGGCGCACATGAATTTAGTTTTTCCTAATAGCACACGTAATCGGTGATCAAAACGAAAGATGCAATTATAAATCAATTCCAATGAGCTCACTACACATTAAAACAAACAAACTAATGTTACCTCAATGACTTTTTTTGGTCTGGCGTCCTGACTTACGTTTTAAAACTCCGATTTCAGCACTCCAAGCTTGATTAACACCACAGCTGACCACTACGTCCTCATTGTGGTGGAAGCCATTGAAAGAAAGAAGTTACGCCTGGATGGGGACGACTTAAACTCAAGGTGCATCCCACTGACGACTTGTTGGGGTCAATAAATCGGTGGGGGAGGGGGTTGGGGGGGGCAGGGGTTGGGAAGGGGGTGGGGAGAAGCGGTGTGAGAAATCCTGGCAGCTGTCCACTAATTAGCGGCCTACGGTGTGGTAATACCGTTATTATTAGATTTAAGCGGGACTTCTCATCACCACATTCATGTCACCATCTTTAATCGGGTTTCAGTAGCTCTCAGACGTCACCTGTCGTTTGCTAATGACATGTGCTACACCTTTTAAGGACTTACTACTGGCAGCTGAAAGTTATAGCAATTCACTACCATTGTGTCAGCTACATTTATCTTAGCTTCCTTTCAAGCTACTTTTTTTAGCTACCTTTATTTTAGCCACCAAAATTTTAGGTACCTATATTTTAGCTACCTCTATTTTAGCTACCTTCATTTTAGCTACCTTCCTTTTAGCTTCCTATATTTTAGCTACCTTTACTTTCGATACCTTTATTTTTGCTACGATTATTTTAGCTACCTTAAATCTAGCTAGGCTTATTTTAGCAAACTTAATTACCTCTATTTTAGCTACCTTTGTCTTTAGCTACCTTTATTTTAACGATCTTTATTTTAACTACTTATATTTTAGCTACCTTTCATCACTTGTACTATTGGATTAAAAAAAAAAAATTAATTGCTACAAACAGGCGCGTAGATATCCACAAAGAATACTCGTGATAGTATGTATCATGTATGTGTTGATACTGCTGTAACAGGTTTAGTACAATGTAAAAAAAAAAGACAGTGCTTCTATAACCTCTGTCTATAACCTCTGTTTATAATCTGTGTCTATAACCTCTGTCTATAACCTCTGTCTGTAACTTCTGTCTATAACCTCTGTCTTTAATTTCTGTCTATAACCTCTGAATGTAACTTCTGTCTGTAACCTCTGTCTGTAACCTCTGTCTACAGCCTCTGTCTATAACCTCTGTCTGTAGCCTCTGTCTATAACCTCTGTCTACAACCTCCGTATATAACCTCTGTCTACGACCTCTGGCAGTGTGAAGTGGGACACAGTGACGGGAAAACAAGACTGGATCGTTGGGGAGGAAGTGATCCAGCCAGGGATCCATTCTGTGCACGGGGTCGAGCCCTTCTACTTCGGGTGCTACCTGTACGGGCTGTCTCTACGGTTTAGCTACATCCACCCGGCCGGCTACATCGCAGCTCCAATAAATGGGGTAGGATTGTAAGTGTGGGGGGGATCAGATGGACATGGTTGGAAAAACTATTCCTTATTTAACACATTTTTAGATCGACATGCAAAAATCTGAAAGAAACGGTGGCACATGTGAAGAATTTTATTTTATTGATTCAAATGCGGAAGCTTACTGATTGACATGTTTGGGAAAATAATCACGATTGTTATTCAAAGAAGGAGAAAAACAAATTAAAATAGATGATCTTGTAGACCCAATGAAGAATAAATCTGTTGGGGTTTGAAATGCCTATTTGTATGAAATATGTTTAAATATTTTAGTAGAGGCACATCATATCCAGGTTGTAGGGCCATCCGGACGTTCGCTATACCCCGACGATAGGACAATTACCATGCACATCTATGAGGCTAACAACAGTTCCAAGTATAAGGCCACCAACACATGCACCCATGTGATAACGAACATATCAACATCTGGGACAGTCATGTCCCCCCTGAAAGGATACCATCCGCCAAACCCACCTGTTGGCTTACACCATCTCCCCTAAGACCATCTACAGCTTCAGGCCCCCATGAAACATTCATTTAAAAATTCAGCGCATTCCTAGAGCTCTCCGGTAATCGGCCGGCCCCGTTGGTATCAAACTAAACTACTGTACTTTCAAATTTATTCATCTGTAGTAAAACCCTGAAAAACCTTTTTCGAGTAAAATATCTGTATAATGCTAGACATGGTTTATATTCCTAATGACAGCCCTGCACCCAAAGCCAAACAGCAGCTGGTGATCTTATTGACAACGATTGTGACAGAAAAATTGATGAGGAGATAGACGATAAAATAGGTAAGCATTGTCAATCAAGGACGACGAAATAGTTTTTCGGCACAGTTATTCGAAATAGTTCTCAAGAATATATATATATACATATAGATTTTTCACGGATAGGTTTATGACAGAGGATGACAGAAGTAAGTAAGTTTCATGACAAACTATTGTGAAAAAAGCATCGACGACGAGGTGTGAAAGGAAGTATGGGTTACTTAGGTGATTGGTAAAAATGTAAAAAATTATGGCAAAATATATATATTTTTTGACATTGAAAATACAATGTTAGTAAGAATGATTGCCAACGAAACCCGACGGATGAATGAATTAAGATGAAAATAAGAAAATTGTTATGAATAAATTAGGACTGACCCGATACTTAAACGAACCCAGATCTGACACATTTTTGCATGTCTTCTAACAGAGCCGTCCTTAAGATTTTGGGGGCCCTGGTCATGGGGCGTAGTAGGGGGCAAAGGAAAATAAGGGGGGGTGGGTCTGGGGGTGGAGCTGAGGAGCAGAGAGGGAAACAGTGACGAAGGCAGAATGGAGGGGCCGCAGTGGTAGGTGGGGGGCCCCAGTGGGCTGGTCCTGATCATTCATCTCACCAGCGTGTGACCACTCGCCCTAGTGATCATTCCGACCACTAGAGGAAATGAGAGCCTTTTGAAATATATGAATTTGCACGTTGTAAGCTTAAAAAAAAGGCACCAGGTGGGGCCTCCTTGGCAGTGGGGCCCTAGGCGGTCGCCTAGTTTGCCAATGCCTAAGTCCTAAGAACGGCCCTGCTTCTAAGTTTTTCTGTTTAAAAAGGAACATCTACCATTAACCACCCTCTTAAATCCAACATATGTAAAACATATGTGTCTTCTACTCCGCTACAGATAATGACAAGGACGGTTTAGTGGATGAGGATCTGGGGAAGCCACCGCGGCGTAAGTAGCCATGGCCGGTTGTTACCTTGATGATGTGTTACATGAGACTTGTTACCTTTATGATGTGTTACATGAGACTTGTTACCTTTATGATGTGTAACATGAGACTTGTTACCTTGATGATGTGCAACATGGGTCCTGTTACCTTTATGATGTGTAACATGGGGCCTGTTACCTTTATGAGGTGCAACATTGGGGATTGTTACCTTTATGTTATGTAATATGGTGATGATACCTTTATGATATGTAAACACCAATCTTGCTACTTTTATGATATGTTGCAAAATGTTTGTACCTTACACTTAGTAACATGCTGCTTGTAAATCTTAGGATATAGAAAAGTACTTTTTACCTCTATAATATATATGGAGTATTGAAAAAAAAAGAAAAAAATAATACTAATAAAGATTATTTGAAAATCACGCTTCATCCCCAAAGGCTCGAAGCGCGGTACATACCACATTGAAGTACAAAATGCAACATTACAAAAAAATACATACGAGAATACCCATTCTAAGTCTTTCATACCTTGCAACCATAAACAACACAGGCCAATATACGTCTACAAGATAATAGCTAGATAGACAACATCACCCCAGCAGGTGTTTGCGAAATAGATAAGTTTTCAAATCAGTTAGGAAAGACTCCAGTGTCTGGCTATTGCTGAGAGCGACAGGAAGCATGTTCCAAATTGTTTGGCCAGCAAATGCAAAAGTGCGCTCTTTGTAAGTCTCAAGGCGAGCACGTGGTATCGAGAGTTTGCCACTATCAAATGCTATCTTTATAATTGTAACATGGTCCTTTTTATAGTTATTGTATGAAAAGTGTCCTTGTTTGCTTATATATATATATATATATATTATCATGAAATCAACTCAAGGAAGTTATAACGTTTTAATTACAAAACACTGTACATAACAATATCCCAAATCATAAATTCTAAATCTAAAATGCTGTGTTCAATGGGAGCGAAAAATAAAATTCCCAGAAGTTAGCACTAAATTGCGATTCTTATAAAGTGGGTTGCCTGAAAACAAGTTTTGTCAAGCAACCTTTAGTAAATGCGAAGTTTACACATCGCCGCCGCCATTTCCTTGGCGGGTTATTTGTAGTGTAAAATGATGCTTGGTTGTCTTTGTATTACGCTATTAGGTTTAGGACACTCTTTTCGTTCTGTACACATTTATTTATATGGATTTCATACCAGAAAACGGCAACTGGGGACAATGGTCGCAATGGAGCTGTAGTCGCAACTGTTTAGATACGAGGCTCTTTAGGTCAAGGTATGTCTGTATGTTTAATACACATAATGAATAGACTAAAATAACTAAAAATGTATAGCTGCATATAGCTGCATGAATATAACGCTTACCGAAGACATATGAAACCATTTCCAAACACGCCAAGAAGTATTCCGGACACAAAGCTGTGAATTTGTGAAGTGTTTATATTCAGTTCCTTTTTTAAAAAAATGGATAAACAATAATTATTTTTTTAGATGCTTTCTTGCCTGACACTATTTTTCTGGAGACCAAGGCTCAGAAAAGTACGTGTTCAAATGACTCCCTTAAAACGCGTTTTCCATTTTAAAAAATTTTACACTATATCTTCTGACTGAACTTTTCTCCAGGAAGTGTGACGACCCAGCTCCAGTGAACGAAGGACTGCATTGCAAGTCCGTCAGTGAGGAGGTCAAGCCAAGTGTATGTTACAAACATTCCAAGTGCCCAGCAAGTGAGTTCATTTTTAGCTCAGCTCCTCAACAATCTACGATTACAACTAATTATTCTTCATTGTTTAAACAGTTTATCTGACGAGCCAAGGAGCTAAATCTAACTAAAATCCGGTTTGGGAAATTCTCACCGAATTTTTTTAAAAAATGTAGCTGAGCGTCGATTTTAGGTTGCCCTTTATTTAGGTTGCCTTTTTTAGGTTGCTTTTGAGGCTTCCGTTTTCTAAGGTTGCCTTTTGTAGGTTGCCTTTTTTAAGGTTGCCTTTTGTAGCTTGCCTTTTTAGGATCCCCTTTTAAGATGGCCTTTTTTAGGTTGAAAATTTTTTAGTTCGCTTAAAGACATAACTTCATAGAATAAAATATGTTGTCACTTGACAGATAGTTATTTGTGTTTGTGCTTCGTTGCATAGTGTGTTAACCATACGGCGTAGTATTTCAGTCGTTTCACCCCAAATAGATGACTTGCGCATATGGTAAAAACCCGACCCGGAAGGGAAGGATTTTTGTCAAGTCTTTGTTATGTATCAATGTTTTTTTGTTATTCATAAGGCGTAACATTGCATTAAGAATAAAAGGCAGGTGAGTTCGGATAACTAAATTCTGGATAACCAAATTTCGGATAATATTCATTCTGAAAGTCAACGCTCTTCTGTAATTTTGAAAATCGAAATTCATTCACGATTCTTTTAAAGGCAATTTAAAAATGTAGTGACTCTGTTCTTGAGCTGGCATCGTGGAGTATTTTCCACGCTTTCGGCTACAGCAATGCTGCTCGACTAGTTAGTGTTCAGGTGAGAATGGCACACAACCGTATCAGGGACGTCATATCATCACCAGTGGCGCTACAGTACATGTAGGCCCCCCCCTGGTCTGCTCCACCGCGGCCTACCATTTGGATCGATCCACGGCTTTCGGCCTCCATGCGCGAACCCCCAACTGGTGTAACTCCTTCTCTACGTCGTCGCCCCACCTCAGTCTTGGTCGGCCGGTGAGTTGTCTGCCCCTAGGTTTCTGCCTGCATATGACTTAAGCAGCTCTACATTCCAGCATTCCCTCAATGTGTCCTGTCCTATATCAGGAAAGGGCATAGATATTTTATTTTTTTTTTAAAATTTGAATATTCATTGTCGATGAACTACCCTCACCCCCTTTTTCCCCCGAAGACGGCCTGAACACTAATAGTTTGTTTCAGTGTGCGATATCGGCAAGTGGGGCCTCAACTGCAGCTCTGACTGCGCCAACTGTGATCCCGACTGCGACAAGTTTGAGGGGACATGCTTAGTGTGCAGGCCAGGGTACAAGTTTCCCAACGCCTCCTGCACGCGTTGTAAGGACCGGGTATCAATTGATGCATCCCTTCATCCATTAATCGATTCTGGCATCAATCCATACATCAAATCCATTCATCGAGCAACGGATCCACGCATCCGACCACCAAATCCAAACAACAGTTTAACCATCCATTTATCCATTACCGATACATACATCCGACAGTCGATCGACACATCGAATCATTAATCCAACCATCCATGTATCTAGTATCGAGCCCAGAGGCGTAGCGAGGGGGCTGCAAGGGGAACAGATGTCCCCGGGCGCCCGGTAGTTAGCGGCGCCAAAATGTGCTTTGATATTATTTTATTGATGAAAATAATGGGTTTGAGAGTTGAAAAAAGAAAAAGAGGGCGCTTTAAAATGGATCTTGTCCCCGGGCGCCAAACACCCTCGCTACGCCGCTGATCGAGCCACATATCCAAAGTTCCTTCCCCTATATCCATGTGTCCAATATCGATGCGAGCACCCATTAATAGATCCATACATCCATATATCAAATATCGATCGATACAACAATTTTTTTATGCACACCTCTAAGATCCATTCCTTGATCCTTTTTTTGTGTCCATGTTTAAATATGAACTAAGCAAGCCTCTTTCTCTGAATGGCATAACGGTTGCTTGGTAGCTGTGGCTCCGTAACTGTAGCTCTGTAACAGTGGCTCCGTAACTATAGCACTGTAACTGTGGCTCCGTACTTGTAGCTCTGTAACTGTAGATCTGTCACTTTAGCTCTGTCACTTAAGCTCTGTATCTGTAGCTGTGTATCTGTAGCTCTGCAACTGTAGCTCTGTATCTGTAGCTCTGTTACTGTAGCTCTGCAGCTGTAGCTCTGTAACAGTAGCTCTGTATCTGTTGCTCTGTATCTGTGTAGCTTTGTATCTGTAGTTATGTAACTGTGGCTCCGTAAATTTAGCTCTTTAACTGTAGCTCTGTATCTGTAGCTCTGTATCTGTGCAGCTTTGTATCTGTAGTTATGTAACTGTAGCTCTGTTACTGTAGCTCTGTATTTGTAGCTCTGTATCTGTGGCTCTGTAACTGTAGCTCTGCCTCTGTAGCACTGTAACTGCGGCTCCGTAACTGTAGCATTATAACCGTAGCTCCGTATCCGTAGCTCTGTATCTGTTCCAGGGTGCGATCCGTTTGAGTATGGCATCGACTGCAAGCTGGACTGCCTGGCCAAGTGTGGGGAGGACTGCGCCGATCGTGTCATCGGTTCGTGTGGACGTAAGCCACGATGTTCTTAAATTACTCTCGTTTTATATAAACAGCAGATTTTTATATATATATATATGTACTGGTAAATACTTAGATGATACACTTTGTTACACAATTGGGAAAGAACATATTTTGAATGTTAGCAGAATTGTTTCTGGCGCAAACCTTTTTTTAAAAAAAAGCTTTTTTTTTTTTTTTTTTTAAATGACATACCATTTAAAGTCCCTTTAAAATTAACATTTTTGAGGAAAATCTCTATGAAAACCGTTTAAAGTCGAAACCATTAAAAGAAACAACAACTATAATTTTAATTCTTTTTATTTTTTTTAAAAAAGAGGTTTTTTTTTTTTTTTTTTTAATGACATACCATTTAAAGTCCCTTTAAAATTAACATATTTGAGGAAAATCTCTATGAAAACCGTTTAAAGTCGAAACCATTAAAAGAAACAACAGCTATAATTTTAATTCTGTTTAGTATATGTCTGACGATACTTCTCATGTGCCCCATCATCACAGCAGTCATACTGATCGGTTTTATCCTCCCCCCCTCTTAACTTTGTATAGAGATTGAAGCCAGAATGATTGTGTCGTGATTTCTCCTCTGCTTGATTTCTTCTCATTTCTGGAGTGTTTTTTTTTAACCTCATATCTAATTTTGGTTGACATTCCGTTCGCGTCAATGTGTCTGACAACGATACATTCATGGGCGCCCGCAGAAAACTTTCTGGGGGTGGGGGGGGGGCAAAAAAAAATTGATTAATTTTCCAGGGGGGGGGGGGGGGGCATATTTGTTTTGTAATGTTTCAATTTAGTTTTAATTTACTGTAGCGTATTTGAATGGTGAACGAACGGGCAGGACATCAGCTTAGTTACATTCTCTTTATTTTCTCTTTACTTTAATAAATTTTTTGTCTATTTTTGTCTAAAAAATTTTATCCAATCAATCCGCGGGGAAGGGGGGGGGTCGTCAAATGCCCCCCTTTCCCCCCCCTGCGGGCGCCCATAGATACATTTCAAGCTTAAAGTTCGACTTTTCATTTCGATTGCAGTTGGAATCCAAGCGCCGGTCTATGTTCTTATTTTTTTCTGGATCCTTCCATGCATTTGTGTGTACATCTACGTGTAAGTACAAGCACCACAAGTATTGTGTGTACATCTACGTGTAAGTACAAGCACCACAAGTATTGTGTGTACATCTACTTGTAAGTACAAGCACCACAAGTATTGTGTGTACATCTACGTGTAAGTACAAGCACCACAAGTATTGTGTGTACATCTACGTGTAAGTACAAGCACCACAAGTATTGTGTGTACATCTACGTGTAAGTA